AAAAGCGGAATGCGCAATGTCAAATGGCCGTAGGGGAAGCCCTAACGAAAGCAGTAATCCTAAGACATAACCCTTAAACTCTAATCCTAACACTGAAACCTAACCCTTACCTTAACCGGAAAACTTAACACTAAAACTTTAGCCCTAATTCTAAAACATAACCGTAGCCTTATACACAACATCTAACCCTAAAGCCCTAAAGCTAACCAAAAACCCTAACGCTAGCCTTAATCCAAAATCCCAACACTAACCTTAATACCAAAACCCATACCTCACCCTAAGCTTAATCCTAAAACCCAACCCCAACCTTAACCCTAAAAAACTAACCCTAATGCCCTAACCCTAACCCGAAAACCCGAACTATATCCCTAAACCCTAAACTTAATACTGAAACCTTACCCTAGCTTTGACCCTAAAACCTACACATAACCCTAACCTTGACCCTAAAACCTATCCATAACCCTAATCTTAACCTTAAAACTTAAGGCTAACCGGGACGCTAACTGACACTAGACTTAAAACTTTAGACTAGCCCTAACCTTAACTCTAAAGCCTAACGTCAAAGCATTTACCCTAACCCAAACATCGTAACCCTTATCCTAAACCCTAACCATAACCTTAACCCTAAGACCCGGCCACAACCCGTAACCCCAAAAACTAATCTTATTCCTAACATTAACCCTAAAACCGAAACCAATCGCTAAGGCCTAACCGTAACCTTAATCCTAAAACCTAATCCTAACCTTAACCCTAAAGCATACCACTGAGGTCCTAGCCCTAACTCAAAAATCGTGATCCTAAACCTAAATCCAAACATTAACATTAACCCTAAAATCGAACCCAACCCTGAACCCAATAACCTAAGCAAAAAGTTCTAGCCCTAACCCAAAAACCCTAACCCTATAGCCAAACCCTAATCGTAAACCTAAACCCTAACCATAACACTAAAATCTAACCGTAAAACGCAAACCCTAACCCTAAAACTTAATCCTAAGTCCAACCCTTACCCTCACTAACCTCAGCACACTGGCCGAAACGGGTGACCTGCATAACTCAGTAGAAACACACCTACCGATCACAAGTTTCCTTGACAAGGGAAACACACCTACCGATAAAAAGTAAGTACGTCGGCATTATCAACGTCTAATGTCTGGCTACGAACTGCGATCTTACCAGTGTTTTGAAATATAATTTTAAGGGTATTAGCCGTTTTGCATAAAATCTCGCATCTATATACTGAAAAACTAAAATGGTTGCTTTTTATGTATTGAAATTTTGAGGTTCAAAGTGCCAAAGTTCTTCAAAATTTACTGCAGGTAAATCCAAGATGCATGAACCTGCACGTGACAACTTTTAGCATTGGAATTTCAGGCAAATACTCTCTTACAGACTGCAAAATAGAAGGGTCAAGGGGAGATACCTATAGTCGGTGCGTATTTTATTGTTCTAAGAAGATTTTTACAGAATATATTTTAAAAAGAACCGCGTGATATGGGCTCTATCTGCTAGATGATGCAGTTAAGTAGATGGCAGCGTACGTATTTGGAGATACGTAGCATAGGCATTGGAACACATGAGAAAGAACAGCACATGCTGGAGCAGAATAAATTTTTTTGTCCAGGAGTTGTCTTCTATAAAGATGTTTTATTGTTGCGATAAAAGTGTCCTTCAACCCACTGGCTGAGAGCTCTCAATATGGAAGCGCTCGTTCAAGCACATCAAACACTGGTCCAAGTCTGAGAAGGGCTATTGAATTGATTCCTTAAGTAGACAGTATGAATGACCATCACCGTACGCCTTCTTTTAAGAGGTAATCATGAACATCCATCGGTTCTAGAGGGCTAAACCATTAGGCATCATTACAATCTCAACGAAATAAACAAATAAGGGAAAAACAAACCATGGGTATGTCCGTTTTACCGCATTAGCTGAGGCGGCTACAAGGGCATATTCCTCAGCACTGAGGAATACTGAAACATGGCTATTGCCAGAAGCACCGTAATGGATTTTAAAAATAACTGGGCAATCACGCACATGAAGTTTGCGGACTGCAGAAGGCACAAATAGTGCCAAGAAATGTGGATTAGCCTACACTCTACATTTGCCCATGTGACAACAGCCTCCGAAGCAAGCAGTCTTCGGAGAATCATGCTAAAATTGGAATGCTCGGAGACATTCACGCAGATGTAAAGCCACATGCAGTCCTCTTTGTTCTCCACGTTACAGAAAACCGAACAGTCATTGAAAGAGTGGCGGTCACAAATTGGATGGAGTTGTGGTGTGCACTCGGTCTCACACTGTCCTCTATTTGAAGAAGAAGAAGAAGAAGAAGAAGAGTCGAGCACCGGAACAATTCGTTTATTATCCTGAGCTTTCAGACTCGTACAGGAGTCCATCATCAGAGGTAATGGCAGAAACAGGACAAGCGGCAGTTATAAGGCACGTAGACCCAATCATCGACCGACGTCGCACGACTGGAGGTGACTACGAAGGGCTCTGTACGCCGACGCCAGATCGATAAATCGATTGACCGAGTTCTCATCCGAAGTCCAGGCTTCAATCAATTCTCGGCCTGTTTTGTTTCCGGCGTGGGCAACTATTTTGGTGGCTGCGAAGTCAAACTCGTGACCCATTTCGTAGGTGTGGGCGGCCACTTGTGATAATGCGTCGCCTCGCCGCACAGCCAGCTTATGTTCATGTGTGCGCGATCCGAGCATGCGTCCAGTCTGTCCTGTGTAATTACAAGGACAATTTTGACACGGAATGCGATACACTACTCCAGATTGCTCTTCAGGTTTTAACCGGTCTTTGATCTTCATGACCCTGTTGCGCATGGTGGCTTTGGGGCGGTGTGCCATATCTTCGGTGGCGTTGATGTATGTTCTCCACGTCACAGAAAACCAAACTGTCTTTGAAACATTGATGCTCACAAATTGGATGGAGTTGGGTTGCACACTCGGTCTCACACTGTTTGCCATCATGTTGTCCGTCATGCAGATAGATGCCACTACTGAGAAGACGCGAGGATCCAACATCGAATCCCGACCATCCGGACATCGTCGTGACAGCTGACACATAACGGCACGTACTAGGGGCTCCAAGGACATGCCGTCATATTGGCGAAAGAACGTGTTCCAAACATCATTACGGGTAGAGGAGACGCATCGTTTTGTGGATCTCTCAGCATACAGTTTCCCAAACCTCAGATTGACAATCAGTACATGATGATTGGTCAGGTCTTAGGTAGGGAAATAAATGACCATAAATAATCCACCATAAAGAGTAATGGATTCCAACGCACATCAGTGAACACGTTAGCGTATCCAACAAATAAATTGCAGGACACACTAAGGTCGACGTCAAAATTGCGAATCCAAATGTTAATGCCAGCCAGATATTCGGTTGACTACAGCGCTGCACCTGGAGTTGGTGCTGCGTCGTCACTGCGTGGTCAAAGGTCTACTGTTTTTAGTGTTCCTACACTGGTTGTGCATCTGGTTGATACAGGGAAACAATGCAAGTATGTTCAGTCATACTCTCCTCAGCAAATTACCGCGGATACTAAAAGTGTAGTGGCAGGAAGGGATCGCATACAATGAGGACATGGAATGGCTCATCATATAAAGCACCCAACCATGATAAATCAGATGCACTTGCGACTGAGCGGTCACAGCGGTGCAGAACGCTAGACCAAGCCAGTTGGCTGAAGCATAGTCGCTATGTGTGCTCGCACACTAGGCAGATAAAAGCGTCGATACAAGGACGCATATGCAAAACAACCCTGAAATCTGGGAAGCTTTCGTGCAGATCCGCTGTCTTGGCGTATTGCCGTATGAAATGGAGCAGCAAACTGTGGAACCTGTTACGGCAAAGAGGCCAAAGCAAACGGGAAGACATTTTTAAAATGTTTGAATGCTACAAGGCGACTCTACGAAAATCCACCACCTAACATCGGGCATATGTGGCCGAATGAAGTTCAGGGCAGGGATTCGGCGTAATGCCAAAATGACCAAACTTTTTCGGGGGAAACCGAGTTTGTCCACCACCAGTACTCATACGCCCATCGATTGCCACCGCCTCCGCCACCACCACCACCACTAATAAGCCTACAACCAGCAACGCCCCTTATGCACTCCCAGTGCGGCCCTGCAGTTGCTATTGTGCACTTGAATAGTGCATCCACCTGATCGGTGGCATGCAGATACATTGCACTGGAACTGGCGAATTAGAGCCAGGAACCTCGTCATACATTAGCAATCCTGATCTGGCCCGCCAACAGCGCCCGGGGGCTGTTATGGACCTAGGATGAGCCCATCGGTATTTAAGGGCATTCCTATAAACCTTTATTGAAACAACACAGAGGAGAACTCGCTACAGCGTCTGGCCCTACTTCCACTCCTACCTAATCTACATACGACTACATTCCATACCTCCCGCGAATGCTATGCCCCCGCACAATCCAGACCCCTTGACGTCTGTAGCGGACATGCCATTCACTTTAGATTCGCTATTATGGCATGTGAAACTCTGCATGCTTGCACATGCACTCATTACCTGCATGGGAAGCATGTCATTCGGTCTAACCTGGTACATGAATTGGGAACAGGTCGAGTGTGACGCTCGTAGACTGCCCATCTATATTTGCCAACCACAACCCCTAATCCCAGTCATAATCTGCCTGATTTGGCCAAGCAACTGGTAGACGTGAGAGAGCGGTGAGAGCGTGACGCGGTGGGCTTTGTAGATTGCTGCACCAGATTTCATTGTTCTCCTCCAGATCAGTCGGTTCCGGGCTAGGTCTTCCTAGTTGGCGACATCTCCATAGAAGAGCCGTTCAGATAGCCGCTCGTCGTTCATCCAGACGAGTTGGCCGCACCAGCGCATTTGCAGCTGTCTCAGCATAGCATGGATGCTGAGGATGCCCATCCACTCAGGTTCATCTGGTACTGCCATCTCAGCTCCAGCATCCGTCGAAGACAGCTGAGAGGGAAGTGGTTTAGTCATTGTGCCTGCTTCTTATACACCGTCCAGGTCTCTGCTCCATACAGCAACGTCGGCAGGATGGCTGCTTTGTGCGGCTTGAGTATGGTGCCGAGATGGAAACCGTGACGAATCGAGACGATGGTTTCCAAGTGGCCGAAGGTTTGGCTGGCTGTGGAAAATCCTGCGGGACACTTCGCTGTCGATTTTGGTGTTGCGCGAGAGGGTGCTGCCAGATTCTTGAAGTTGTCCACGGCTTGCAGTGGGGTGCCCTTTACATTGATTTTGGGTGTGGCGTAGGCAGCATCTGTGGCGGTTAATGCATAATCCCCGTCTTCTACGTGTTGATGATCTGGCCGAAGTTGTCGCAGGCGGCGACTAAGAGGTCCACACTCCCCTTTCGAGGTGGCGTTGAGGGCGCATTCATCGGCAGAGAGAAGGTTGTGTACGGTAGTTGTGCATACACACGACCGGGAGTGTATCCACCGGTGGTTGAGGGGTTGGCCATCTGTCACGTAGACGGTGCGAATCTCAGGGCGGTCGTCACGGTAGGCGTCCATTTTCATGGCAGAGAACATGAGACTGAAGAGAGTAGGCGCGAGAACGCAGCTCTGCTTCATTCCGTTGGTCACTGCGAATGCCCTGAAACGGCCCCATTGTCCGTGACGCGCGCAGTCATGCCATCGTAGAGCTAACGCACCATCTGAGTGAATCTCTCAAGACGGCCGAATATCTGCATGATCTTCCAAGCCCTTCGCGCCTCACCGTAACGCAGGCTTGTGTCAGATCCAGAAAGGCAGAGTAGAGGTGGATCTGCATCTCCCGACACTTCAAACTTCATGCCGGAGGTGCCTCGATGACGGTGAAAGCCTCATCGGCTCTCCGACAGGAGACTTTGTTCCAGATGGTTTTTTAGAGGATTGAGAAGGATGCGAGTGAGCATCTTCCCGGCGATGCTGGGTAGGGAGATGCCTCTGCGGTTTTCGCCCATCTCTACAAGCGGAAAGGGGACGTACACACTCACGCACGCACGACCTGACCTCCGACACTCACGCAAGAACTTTCCATACAGTAGATGTGGGCAGTTAAAATCTCTCATGCGTCCAAGTGCTATCGAAGCCACACAGAGAAGTAGTCGCGTTTCCCACTTAGGCGAGAAGCTGTCCATTTTGTGAGTGCGGTGAGGGATGTGGGTTTTGTTCGTGCCTGGTATGTGATGGTGCAGAGTTAGGAAAAGATTTTTTCTGCGGTGGTTTAATGCAGATGTGCATGGGTACATATATGACCGAGCAGGCCGATGGAGAATGGAGATTTGTCGAAATTTAAAGGTCGGACTTGAGAGAGAGAGAGAGAGAGAGAGAGAGAGAGAGAGAGAAAGGAAGGAATTTTGTTTTATTTGATAGTGTCGTCCAAATATTTCAGCAACAAGGACTCCATCCCCTGTAGACGAGAGAATAATTAACAAATTAAGGCAAAGTCCTGAAGTTTGCACAAACCTGAACATCTTTTAAGAGAAAAGTTCAGGTTGCTACCGCTTTCATCAGAAGTGGCAATACAGGCTGTCGACGTATGGATTTACGGAAAGAGTCATGGGGCATGGGACGAAAGGACTTCTCAGTATTTTATTAAGAAGGGGACTAAAAACGCCATGCAAAATTTAACCAGCAAACTGCTACACCGTTTGGAAATGTCGTTTTTATTAAAAATTTCGACTAAAAGACATAAAAAGCCATCAGCAGATGAAGACATTCGGAGAACTCGTTTTAAAAGTAACATATTTTTTAAGCAAAGCAGGAAAAATAACAAACGAACAATAAATACATCTTTAAATCTGCTGATTAGAGGTTGAGCTGTGTGATAAGAAGGTAAACGACCAATGTAATTAAGGAGATTGCACATTTAAGTGAAAATTGTCTCAGTATAAATGGATAACAAAAGATTTGTTGTCAGGGTAACACCAAGTTACCAGAAAGAGGATACCTCGTTGAGATAGTTGTCCAAGCATTCAGAACTGCGGGAGGATCACAGCCAAAAAGCACACTGAACTGATTTCTGATTATTCGGTAAGTGGCCATTTCCAACGCCAACGCTAAGACATAGTCCAGACCATCTTTTAGAAACCGGAGAGATGCATAATTTTCAAGAGGATGATCAACACGCATACTGTCCGCATACGTACGATCTCAAGTCACCGGTGTGGAGGAAGAAGAGGTGGGGGGATAAGATGGAAACTTGAAGAACTCCAGTTACTGGGAAAAAAACAGTAGATTTTCGCTTGCTGGATTGGACAATCTGAATGCGGGAAGTAAACTAATCATCAAGCCAAGAGACGACCCAGCCAGGGGAGCCGCATGTGGATGTTGTTGATTCGGTCAATTTCGCTGACGTGGATACGCATGTGACTGAATAAGCACACGCGTTAACTTAATGCTCGTGGACAGTGCAGTGAGTAGAGGCGGGTGCGGTGTATGTTGGTGCTCCTCTGACATGTTCTCCAATGGGAGCGAACAGGCCACTTCAAGGAAGCCGTTCAGAAGAAGATACGATCGCTGTTACAAGAATTTTATAGACCTGAGGTTTCGAATCCTCAGTCGCAAAAAACATGACCGACAGCGATAAAAGCCGATACTGCTAATTGTAGTAGGCATGTGATTGCATAGCAAGTGCGTCCAATAAATGCTGCGCTTCTTCTGTCGCCATAACCTTGTTTCTGATTGTCACTAAGGATAGGTTCGAGTGAGAATTCGGAACATCAGAGGAATAAACCTCTTGTCTCAGCGATCACATTTTCTTCTAATTTATCATGCTCTGTGCGATGGTTTCGGTGGGGACCGACCAGGTGTGACCGTAATGAGAGCATATTCTGATCGAGTTCACATTGCTGGTGGTGAGGACGGAGTGGTAAGTGTTAAGTCTGACGATGTGGGGAAGTATTCTCACAGTTGATGTTAGTGGGGAGGGGTTGGTAGTCATCGTCGCCATCATACTGAGAGTTGTGACAGGGATGGTGGTGGTGGTGGTGGTGGTGGTGGTGGTGGTGGTGGTGGTGGTGGTGGTGGTGGTGGTGGTGGTGGTGGTGGTCGACGATGACGGAGGAGGCGGAGTCGGGGCATCATCAATGTGATCGGCGATGGAGGAGGTCGCCGTCTTGGGGGCCGTGGGTGTTAGTGCAGGCTGTTCACAAACACAGCAGATAAAAAGAATGAGACGCGATCGCCTGCACCTCGATTGCACGCGATGAGCGAGGGGGTTGATAATCCTGACCGGCACGCATCGGCGTAGCAACGACATGGCAACCGCATACCGCAACACGTGACCAGTCGAACCTTCATGCACCTTTGGGCTGCCCACTATGATAGGCATGTGGCGGCCTAGCAACCACAACCCCTGAAAACTGCAACATCTGAGCAATTCACCACCCTTGCCTGCCTCTGCCTCTGATGATGGATTCGGGTGAGAACCAGAAACATCAGCCTAATCTGACTTTGTTTCATCGATCGTATCTCATTTTTCGTGACTGCCTTCTTCCGGAACTCGCTTTTCCGGTTCTGTTAGCAGCAGGTGCAGTTGTCGGGTTGTTGTTGTATTGGGTTCGGAGATGTTCAACGAGGTGGATGCGTGAACCGAATGTTCCTTGGCAGCTTGCACTTGTTTAAGTAGCCTGGGCGTTGATGTTTAGGGCTGGAGACGCTTCAGATTTGTAGGTCGCTCCTTTTGGTTTGGCAATTGTTATGCGGTTATCCCCGTAGATCTCACCTCCAGCCATTACTCCTCTTCCCTCGGCCGGCAAATCTTGGACGAGGTCATCTTAAGTTTCCGTGTTGATTTCCAGTTGCTCAAAAGAGGTTTCAGAGTGTTCTTAACCATCGTTTTTTCGTGTTTCAGGAAGCAACGTAGCGACGTCGTAGAACAAGAATGGCACGGATGAAAGCTCTTCAGCGATCGCCGGGTGTTTTCACTCCAAGGCAATTGTAGCTGCCTCAGGATGACGTTAATGTTGAGCATGTTTTTTCGCACAAAGACTTGTGTGTTTAAAATCCTGTTTTGCTACCGGAGGTTTAATAATCTCCGGTGAGCACTGGAACAAAAGTGATTACATTTTCTGTCTTAGTCGGCGTAGAAGATTCATTTCTCCGTCTCATAGCATAGAGTCAGTAGGAGAGCTGCCCTGTACATCTTGAGTTTTATGTTGAGATGGGAACCATGGTAATTCCTGACGAAGCTCCCGATGGCTTCGAGATCCAAAAGGCAGCTTTATTGTCGATTTCGTCGCTACCTGAGAGTGTACTGCCTTAATCGGCGACTTCTTCTACGCTTTCTACTTGGGTGCGTTAAGAGAGATGAGCGTGTCATTGTATTCTGTGTTAAATGATGGCTGTTTCGTGGACACCGTTTTATTCGCATTTGATTAATAGCCCGAAGCCTGTGCGGACGGCCGAGAAGCGAGATCTTCTCCGTTGCATATCCACTTTCGTATAGGGGAGAAGTTCATCCTCATGTGTTGTTTTTTATCAAAACTCCAGAAGTGATCCCTTCATTTTGCAAAATTTTGGACAATGGAGTTTCAAGGGGATACCACGCATGCCCCAATATAATTTTTCATATTGATAAGCCAAACAGAAACAATTCACTCCCTCAACTACTTGATTAACCCTATATGCAGGCAAATTAAATTAATTTATTTTATGCATCTTTTACATAAAACTAATTTAAGCAACCGTTTCGTGGTACGCAAAACGAAGGCCCCAGTTCTATCTTCTCAAACCTGACCAAGGTAACGTTCGTGCCGGTTATTCTGAGGTCACTTGCAGGAACCTTATTTTTCCCTTTACCAATGCTCATGAAATGGACTATTTTTACGCACTTGACAATTGAAGATTTATCAAGAGCCCTTTGGCTGAAACTTTAGATCAACCCTGTAAATTCCAAGAGACTGATTTTTGAGAATGCTTTCATCAAAAATAAATCTCTTCGCTTGATTTGCATACATGTGAATTTCAGAAATTGTGTATACCACCACTAAAACAGTTATACACTGAAATTTCAAAAAATCGATCATAGACATGTATTTGGTTTAACCAACATGGCCATTTACTAGGACAACAAGAACTTGAAAATAAAACTCACAGATCAAATAAAGGCGATGTTTCTGACAAAGTTCTAGGGCCTGTCAAAAAGTAAAAGACTCCTGCACATAGATTATGCCTTTGGTAGGTCAACGCAAAACCAAAATTATTACTTGCACGAATAACTGAAATGCTAAATCAAACTCTTCATTGCCGTGAATTTCATTAAGACGGCAGAAAGTCGCAAACCTTTGGATCAGAGAGATTCCGTCTTTGATAGACACATACAAGTGTGTTCTGTTCCCGTGGATGATGCCTCAAATGTATTGCGGAATTCTTGCTCAGCAAAGTGTAACGATACATAATTTGATTTATCTTCATATTTACTCGAAAACACTAGTACTGTGATCTTTGGTCTTTCCTGAGTGCGGATGATCAGAGAATTAATTAATTAGTACACCATTACTAGGAGGTTTTTCAAACAGTAAAATAACTTACTTCGTTTAAATGTAAAAGTAAAGAGAAAATCTGTTTTCTCACAAAAAATACGTTAACACGAATTTTGCATACACCTCCTAAATGAAATATGGCTGCAGTTATACATGCATCGGACATTAGCGCGAAAAAATAAAGCATTCTGTGACTGGTAGACGCCCACATGTTCGACGATGCCGCCGTGTTAGGGTCTACGTGGGTTTACGCCACTTCTTACCCTGCTTTATCGGTAACTTTTCCTGAGTGATATAGTCCCTTTGAAGGCTTATCAGATATGTCAGTAAAAATTCCATGTTTCCTAACTATACCTTAAAATACGAGAACTTCTCCGTGCAAGTAGGCACACTGTAATTTGTCCGTGAGCGAAGCGTTCATCAATTTCAGAAAACACTTTTCTATGCCATACCCAATGAATGAAATCGCCTTTTACCCACTCTGAGAAATGTGTAAAATTCCACATGCAGCAAGAGGTGAATGGAGTACTAGGTGCGACCTCGAGTTGCGTTTGAGGAGAATACTTAGAATTTACTCGGTGAAATGAAAGAAAACAATGGTGTGGAAATTATCTGGAGGATGGATGTTGCAGTACAAGAACCTGAAATGGGTTCAGTTTAAGGACGGATTAAGGAGATCATTTTAATCGCGGACTGGCATATTCAGTTAAACGGAGTGGCAGAATTGGCAAGCCGCGCGGGACGATAGAAGTACTAACATACAGTTACGCTGGATCCAACACCTATGATCAAAAAATTGACTGCTTTTCAGGCAGAAACGCTACGCAAATGCAAACAGACATAAATTAATGCCAGCCGAGTAATGCGTTATCCCGTCAGTCTTGCTCTCAGGAATCAATTCAGACGTTATGTGGTCTACAACGACTAGCTTGTAATCAAAATCAGTGACGAAGGAAACTTCCCTGTACATTCAAATATTTCGTCCCAACTGACAAGACGTAACTGAACGAACCGGGACTGAAGCATTTTGTCATCTCGTTCATATTATTCGTCGCCATATAACCTCCCGGGCTGGCCGTTTCCTTCCTGCAATCAGAAACTCCCACTCTGAATTCGATATATGTGGGGTCATTGGTGACGAGTAATTCATACGCGGCCATTTCACAGTATATTACACGGTAGGCGGAACATCTTTTTCATAGATAACTCGTCAGAATACGGCCGTCTCCGTAAATTCGGGACAGGAGGGTGTCGATGCGTGTGCGTACTATACCTCAATCGACACACCTGTGTGCAGGCCGCTATAAACGTCACGCTTTGTAGAACGGTTCATATGTGTAGTGAGCAGGTTTTTGTATCTGTCATTGCATGTTTTTCTTCAACACAACCTATGAACCTGTAAGTCTTAACAAAAATGTCTTCAAAGCATACGTATTTACAAAAAAGCCACTTCCTTGGGTAAAAAATAGGAATTCACGCAAATTATAAGGCAGAACGGTGTCCAACTCGGCTCCCGTAGTGATGTTGGGACAGTCACAAGTGCTCCTGCGAGCAGTACAGCCGTGCGTACGGGGTCGAGTTGAATGGTTGTGGGTTGTACGTCCGTTGCAAGAGATGGAGTTCTAGACAATCGTAAGCCTCGGGATAATAGTCTTCGTGAAATTTGTTCGCAATAAGTTCCTGCGCCTTCTCCAAACTTGAAAGGCTCATTGATCCGAGGATACAAATTGCACGTTGAGTTTTCGTGGGGCAGTCCTTGCCGTACCATTTCTTGTAGCGGATGAGATAGTGAAGGCGGCTTGCGTCCACGGCATCGTCATCCGATTCATGAACACGTAAGCAGGCTCCAGGCGCACCGAGCTGGGGATTGTAGACGAGCGTAGCAAAGAACTGCTCGTCCGGACATTTGTTGTAAGAGTGCGTTTTGAGAGCTTCCATAATTGCATTGGCCTTTGGATCAAACAGCATGAATTCCACAAACTCCCTTCTCAGCGCTGCGTGTACTCCCCCTTTCACCCATGTAACCTGTTGACAAGTACACACAAGAGAATATTCTGTCATATCATGATTACGCTTGAGTCATGCAACTGACGTCCTTACAGTAGAATGTTGACCTAACACATTTTTTGTAATGCAGACCGTTTGGAAAATAGGGATTCCACACGGTTAAAATATCCATCATAGGTAGATATGGCCATACATGACAGGGGCGAATACCAATGGCAGTACAGGTCAAATGAAACAATTTTCTCGAGAGGCAGTGATTCCCGGATGAAGGAGTATTTTTCAACCAGATTACGTAAAGTCACTCTAATCACTTTTGGACGACAAGAAATGTTGCATTCATCCACTTCTTTGGCGAGAAGAACCCATCGAATGGGATTTTTGAGAAGTTACTTACAGACTATGAGGTAATAAAACTGCCAGTAACAAAAGTTCATGGATATCGAAACCCTGCGATATAAAGGGGAGGAGCAAGCCAAAACGAGCTGTCTTCTGCAACTGCCGTTCCTCACCACATGCCGAGAAACACCTGCTCAGACCGGAGGAAGAGCAATGTGTGCATTTAGCGTTTATACGAAGGAAGATTTGTTGCCTACTAAAGTCCGAACCTTTCACTGGTTTGTTGGCATTTTCAGCAGCACTGGAAAAATAAAAACACATTCGACGTGCTAAAATGACGAATGTGTCAAAATGGAGATGAACCACGCTGTAGGACTCATTGATTAGCTACGTCGGGCAGCAGCGGAAAAATCGGTGAAACAAATGTCTGGGACTTTAAATATTAATTCTACTTGAAATACAGTTGGTGGGCTAACTCATGAAATGTCGAACGAAATTATGAAATGCGTTCTCGTTTCGAAAAAAATCAACAAAGCATAATTTTGAAACTAGTTATCGTGCAGTATAAATGTGCAGTAGTTCAGTTACCTCGCGAATGCTGGCTTTTGAAAAAACTTCTTTCCGGCTGCATGCAAAAACAACACTCTACAAAAAATGACTGCTTAATTAGAAGGCACTTTTCTCATTAGTTTTCGATACTCTAAAAATACAACTGTATTTTATGGAAATATACATGAAAATATTCATACTTTCGCTCATTTGGTAGTAAATGACGACGTCTTTCAACTGTATACTAGACGGAATGGTATAATTTGGTTTAAAAATGTTTCTAAGTACGAGTTTTTAATACCGTGGATTGTCCGTTCATAAGACGTCATGTCTTTGCATTTACCAATGTGGCTTGTAAAGTTTATAATATGGCTCAACTTAATTGCTGCATTTTAAAACCTCCATATAGTCTCCTCTTAATACTGTAGTGAAGCGTATTGTTTTCCGTAAGCGGAAAATATACGGTTTGTAGTTTGGAAACCCTGAATTCAAGTGTAACGGCTGGTCGGGCTCAAAGGTATTAGGGACTTGGAAAAGCATTTGAAAATAGTATTATGCCTTTCGCCCTAGTATAAAATAGAAAGAAGACGTCATTTTCTACCCAGTGAGAGGATGAATACTTGTATACATATTTCCGTGAAATATAGTTGCATTTTAAGGTTGTCGAAAATAAATGAGAAAAGTGCATTCTAATTAAGCAGTCCTTGTTTGCGAAGTGTAGTTTTTGCATGTTGCGGAACGAAGTTCGTTCAAAAGCCAGCATTTCCGAGGTACCCGAATTGCTACATAATTATGCTGCACGATAATTAGTTTTGCAATCCTGCTAAATTAATCTTTTCGAAATGAAAACGCATTTCGTAATTTCGGTCGACATTTCATGAGTTAGCTCACTTACTGCATGGTAGATCAATCAGAACTAAACTATTTCTATTCCGTCTCTTATCTGGCCTGATTCCAAGACCAACTACGAGAGAGGTGCATTCAGTGGCTAGATTATTTGTCAAAACTTTATTCCTTGCAAATGCATACTATGTTTCTGGGTATTGTCGTGTCCTTCATCATTCACAAATAGCTGCAAAACCCACTACCATATCATCACTATTGTCAACATCGAACAAATCAACTAGAAAAAAATTCTTATGCTACGATGGGTACGTACCTAGTTGGCGAACCTACAGGCTTACCAGCTACTCTATCGTGATTAATCTTAAGTATCAAAGGGGTGAACTGAACTCCTGTGAAAACTGTGTGCTACTTGAGAACCAATAGCAAGCGTGCCAGTGAGAAATCGAGATTATCAATTCCTCTACTCTCGTAGGGTACGGATAGCCATATGTAGACATTTGACGATAATTTCTGAGATTGATGAACAATATCTGAGCGCTTGCCTTAAGTTAAAGTAGCAGTATTTATGGCACGTTTGATGAAGCGTTTGTCTACAATTTGCAGAAGAAGCGATACGATGATTTAGAGTTCTTTCAGTGTCCTAAAGCGCAAAATACATATTCTTGTAATAATCGCGACTGTAAAACTGCAGGCAAATCTCAACGAACGGAATTATAAAAGTACCGATCCAACCTACCGGAAAGGACAAGTTAACCTGTGGTATTCGATCTGAATTCCGATGCCTGACAGTCCCCTCGACCAAATTCGAACCATTTAGGGCCCTCAGAGCCAATACCAGTTCCAAATTAGTTCTCAGCGGCAATTCTTGACCCGTCAGGTTGATGAAATACTTCCATTGTCCCATTTGCAGCAGTTTTCTTGCTGAAATTAGTTCCAGCCCGAGGACGGTAAAGGTGAACCAACGCACGTTCACACTCTCTTCTCGTTGCACGACGTGAACATTTTCACCAAAACACTTCTGCACCTCCACGACTGCCCGATAGAACTCGTCGCTGGATTTACGGTCCACATGGAAGACGTAGAAATTTTGTGGTCGATAAATTATTCTCAGGAGTCGGGCGACCTGGTTTATATCCTTAAAGACTGCGATCGCAAAGCCGATCGTAAATTCCTTCTCTATATCCGAGATCGACGCTGACTGAAAGTCCATCTGCCTCTTAAATGCAGTGCAGCTTTTTCCTCCTTTGTCATTAAAGGTTAGGAAGTAATCAAGGGGATATTTTCTGACAAAAGTTCTGCTTTCGTTGTGCAGGTTCGGAGCAGCATTCAGGAGGGATTTACAGCGGACATAATCCGCAGTCAACTTAGGCGATGTGTGTGAAGTATTCCAAAAGGCGTAAATAAATGTACACACTGTCAAAAAACACAGAAATGCAAAAGGCGTGCTTCCTTTCATGTTCATTTGCCAGAGGCATGGCAAGGTGATTTTAATAGCTATCGAGGTTCCGCTTTCCGTTTGATCCGCTGACGTTTTCACCAATTACACCTCGGTTATATCCCGCAGTATAATTGGCTAAACTGCAAAGCCAATGGGAGAATCCGAAGACAAAGCAGCGCGTCTGCTGATAGCCCAAACCCGCAGCTGTTTGGGAATTACGAAACACGCTTCCAAAAATTATGCAGCACTGGTTTAAACCATCCGTTTACGCTTATGTCTGTAGACTGCGAGCTGCCTTTAGAAGAAACGGTGGCCAACTTTCAAAAACTACTGTTTGTATTCGTCGGCTTATAAAATGATGCTAATAAATTTATCCGAATGAAAAAATGACAGACACTAGCCAGTCATCGTGGGGTTAAATGAACCGAGGTTTGTGGACGTGTTCAGCCGATGTTCCCTATCCTTTTCAACAACTACGCTAAGAAAGACAAATTGTGCCTCCAGACTCTACGCCCAAAGTCCCTGAGATAGTCTACGCGGTTGTCAATAGCTAGGGTGGTGCATGTCATAAATCTACTGAAATTGCTTTTCATATATGTCGGAGTGAACGAAAATCTATCGTACAGCGGGAATGTGTAACCGTCTCCAGATTAAATTGTTACAGTTGTAGAAGAAAGTTAGTAGATTATTTGGATATTGTACGTGGAGTCACGACAGTTCAATCATATCCTAGCCTGGCAGCAGTGTTAACTGGTGAATATATATTGCCAGATTTTTAGGAAATAAAAATGACAATGTAACCTAGTGTCTTCAGGTCGAATTTTTTCAATTCAGTTAGAGGCCTCCGTTTGCGTTTTGGGCTTGTCTAGCTAGATACCAACAGTGTCAACAGTCAATTTATGACTTCCTTAGTCTAGGCGCACTCTCTTTCTCCAATTTCGAACATTATTTGCAGAATTAACTCGATGCTAGCATATGCAGCATCAAATAAGTTCCATGCCTTCATGATTTCTCTCACATTTTCAATAATTGATTTGAGACGCTATTTAAAGATAGACAATCTTGGATTTCACT